CTGAACCTCTTCCTCTAGATGCTTCTAGCTGCAGAGGTGAGATGGCTTTCTGCTGCTGGTCAGTGCTTTTCTTTAGACTCTAGCAATAGATGTAATCTGAGGGATCGAAGAAAGCCGTGTCTTCTTCCAAACAACTGCTGGTGCTGCAACAGGATTTGACATCAGCTCATCCAGAGGTTAAAGGCCAGACTGCTATACCGTACAGTGCTGATCTCCTCTGTGCTCGTCCAGGTCTCCCTTCTCCAAATTTGCCAAGTTTTACACTTGGTTAATTACCAAAACATAACCAAGATAAACCTGTTGTAGTGAAGGAATGTGCTGTAAAATCTTGCATGCCACAAAACAGCCGAGGGATTCGACCACAGGTCAGCGGGCTGGGCGCAGGAGTCGGTAGGTGAAGTTTTGTGTTGCAGGGAGTGCTGGAGAGTGGGGTCACGCAGGAGCTGGCTGGCCCTAAGACGCACAGCCTTTGTGGCAGGGCACGACGGGTGAATGTGGGACCGGTTGGTGGGAAGCCGTTTTCTTGAGAGTTTTTAAACATTTGATCGTTAGGGGCAAAAAGGAGTACTTGTGAGCAAAACTCCCAGCGCATGGAGGGTGCTTACTGGTGTATTTATAGGATAGCACGGCTCGAATGTGGCCTGTGAGAACAACCTCCCTTTCCCCCAGCCCACAAAACCTCAAACCTGCAATGCTTTTCACTTCCTCCTCCTCCTCCTTTGCAGCTATAAATCAGGATTCGCTGTCTGTGGTGCAAGTCACGCTAATAAAAATGAGAGGCCAAAGCGTGGAATCCCTTCACCAGGTAAGGGGGTGCTCGGCAGGAGGGTCTGTGCGTGGGCACCGAGCCGAGGTCTGGCACAGTGGGGACGGCTGTAAATCAGGGGAACTTGCTCAGTCTGGATTTGACTGGTTTTTAAACGGTGTAACCAAAGTCAGCTGTCAGCCAGCTGCTGCTGTCGGGAGGAGAGCGGCCTTTGGGTCCAGGGTAGCGTAGAGGTTTGGAGCGATCGGCGGAGAGATCGTGCAAGCCAGCTGTCATCTGCTTAGGCTTCCAGATGGGAAATGGGAGACAAACCACTTGCAAATTTTCAGCGCAGTAGAGAGCCAAGACCATCCACGCAGTTTGGGTGTGGGTTGCAGACTTGATCATCTCCCTGCTCCTGAAGCCAGAAGGAGCTCGCATCAGAGCGAAAACCAGACGCTCAAGCTCTAATTACTATCATTTCTGTGATTATACTGTGTGTGTGCTGAAGTCTTTGTTGTCAACGTTTTCTTTTCATCAAACCCTTGAGAAAATGCAACTATATGTGGTAAAATATGGCATACCGTAAGTTGTGCTTGGAAAAAGCCTATTAAAATGTCTTTTTCAGGCGAGACAATATTTCTTTTCAAAGTATAGCTGTGCCCACTGGGGTAGAAATGTGGTATGGTTGGGTTCTTTTTAAAGCAAAAAACAACAACAAAAACAAAACCAAGCCTCCACCATTTCTTCTCTCTCTGAATCCAAATTAGCCTTATCTGCTACAAGATTTTCTCAGATCTGTTCATTGTGTTCCCATTTACTCCCTGAGCTTTTCTGGGCTTCAGTCACTTCACAGGATTTTTTTTTTCCTCTTTTCATGCTTTTTGCTGCACCCAGTCAAAAGTGATAAAAAGTTTTCACTTACCAGCAAAATAGTCTGTGAAGTGCTGTAGGAGATGTAAATAAAATCTTGATTATTTTTTCCAAAGCTGACGACTGTGCAGTACAAATCGTAATGAACTTATTCCTACATTTGAGTGGAATGACTTCAGAGGGCAAGGCAGGGAGCGGGCATCATGCTTCAAGTGACATTTTTACGTTAGTGCTTTTACCAGCACATGCTTATGCGATTGATTGATTGGGGGGGGATCTGTTTTATAAAAATGTTTGACCACACAGGACTGTTTAAGTGGTTGGAAAGCCCTGGATGCCACTTGTATGCATCAAGTTATTGGTGCATCTTTAAAAAATCCCCACGCCTGCCTCCCAAGGCCACGTAACTATAAATTCTGCGGGAATGGGCTTGCTTAGTGTGGACCGTGGAGCGTGTGCCCGTTTCTGGGAGCGCAGCTGAGCCGGCGCAGGGTTTCCTCGGCGTAGTTGTGTAATTCCCAGCTCGTGGAGGTGAGAGGAGTGATACTGGGAGGACGCTTCCTGTGTTGCCAACAGAAGTGTCTCGGTTTAAAAGTGATATTCCTGAAATCAGCCTTAATGTTAGCATTTAAAAGCTGATGATGAAGAGACAGAGTAAGAAAAACCAGGCAGGGAAGTTGGAAATGTCTCAGGCAGTAATTCCGAGGCCGAGTCGCTGCAGCTTGTGCAGCAAGATGCTGCTGCCGGGAGATGCTGCTGCCTTTTGGCTTCTGTTTTCATTGCTGAGCAGCGTCACGGCGATGAAACTGTACGTTGTGCTCGGGGAGCTGTGGATGCTGTAGCCTGTTAGTTTCTGCTGTTGCCTTCTGAACCTCCCTTTCAGCTTGTCAGACTTCCACTAACTCACAGAATCACAGAATCACAGCATGGTAGGGGTTGGCAGGGACCTCTGTGGGTCACCCAGCCCAACCACCTGCCGAAGCAGGGTCACCCAGAGCAGGCTGCACAGGACCTTGTCCAGGCGGGGGCGGGAAAGTCCCCGGGAAGGTGGCCA